TTATCATGCAATATCATATTTTAACCACTAGATGGATTTACAGCCTCTGTAGAAAGGCTTGTGAATTCTAGTTGTTTTTGCACATATTTGCCTATTTTTTTTCAGGTTGTGGATTTTAATTTATAATAAGTTATTCTCAAAGACTATTTTTGTCAAGTTTTTTAAATAAAATAAAAATTCTATTATTTTCGCATAGACATGAAAATCACTATCCAAACTTAAATTGTTGTAAGTCAAGAATGCTTTGGAATATAGACCTATGGTTGGTCTTGTTTTAAAGAAGACATTTGCCAAATTATTGTAGAAGTGAAAATAATTATGAAAGTGAAACAGAAAAAAAGTTATGTAAGTTTGAGTTCATGAAAATGAACAATGTAAAAATTTTATTATTTATATTTTATATAAAATATATATATTACAAAATATATTTTACTCTAAAACTGCAAGAAAATGAAAGCCAAAAATCTTAAGAAGTTGTGTTCCAAATTTTAGGTTGATATCTCAAAAAATAAGCTTTCAGTCAAGATTTTATTTTAGCGCATACCAAACTTTTTCACTAGATGGAAAGCCAAGCTTCCTTACTGACCATATAAGGGCGCCTCCATTTTCATATATGTTTTGAGTGATCTGAACCATGTATTTCCATAATTTTCATACAATTTATGAAGTAGACATCCTATTCAGAAGTAGTATGGGTGGTTTGACAGTATTTTATTTGAATTAAACCTCTAATAAACGCATAAAAAGAGCACATATTGCTGCAATAGGCCTGGAGGTTACTAAGGAAGAATTCCATCGTTTGATCTTACACTGTGTGTGTGTGTGTATGCGTGTGTTCAAGAGAGAGAGACATAGTGTGTGACCTTTGCATTTGGGCCCAATGTCTCCCCTTTATTTGATTCCTTGATTTTATTTCACATATTCTCACATTTCTCTGTTACAGTTTCACCAGTCCAGGGGCGTAGCAACCGGGGGGGACGGGGGGGACACGTCCCCCGCACTTTTAGAAACAGGTGATTCTGTCCCCCGCATTTTTTTTGACCCAGCGCCAATATTTCCGCCTGTGTTCTCTGATTTTTTACTTAGACTTGAGTGAGCTAACATTCAGCCAATCACAGTGCGAAGCATCTATTGGGCGCGTCTGCCATGAGCTTCAAATCTCTTGTTGCTCTTGCGAATTTTCGTGTTCGTTTAGTCGCTTTGCTGTTTGGCCGTCTAATGCACCCCAGAAAAAAAGCAGAGGACGATTACATTATTTTTTTTTCAAACACACACTGTAAGTATAATGTGTTACAGTATGTCGCGACGCGATGACATGAATCACACGTAAAGTTTCCTTGTTATGATTTAACCTACTGTAACGCAGTAAGACGTGTAAGACAACAGAACCCGTATGGACCTCGTCACGTCGCGCCGGATTGTGCCGAGTGTGTGTAAATGCTCTCCCACTTGTTGCTTTGGATAAAAGCGTCTATAGTCTGTTAAATGAGACATAACAGATTATTCCCAGCAGGCACACGTCAAAAGACGTTGATATTTGGTTAAATTTTGGTTGCGACGTCGGGTGACCAAAATTCAATGTAAATTCAACATCTAATGTCAATGTTAAATTGATGTCCAATACCGAATACATTGATTAGGTTTTATTGATATATTTTTATAAAATGTCTGTTGTATAAAATTACTGTAGGCTAGATGTAATCTGTTCTGTACTCATTGAACACTTTTTTTTGGTCCAACTGTTAAGTAAGATACAAGTTTAACTGAAATATAATAAATATCATAAAATATCATTATTTCATAAAAATAAAGTATAGATGTCCACAGTGGTCTGAAAGTCCCAAGTCCTGCAGTATTTTTTTTATTTCGAGTATGATTTCACAAAAATAGGTTGTTAAGCTATCATGGCATGTTCCCAAAATTGGCACTAGGGTGCTGTAAAATGCCAATTGCTATTCCATCTAGAATTTATTATTATGAACATCACCTTTCAGTCCCTCCAGAAAAACGCGATTATGCGATCGCATGATTCAATGCATAATCAGCCAAAGTCTGCATATTTATGCGGGGGCATTTTTTCAAATACGCCGCACTTTTGTCGCATAAATTGACGATTTCCACGCAAAATATGTGGGGCTTGCATGATTTCATAATCCCCGCATTTTTGTTGCAAAAAAAGTCACATATCTTAGCAGAAAGTTGAAAAATGTTGCGTTTACTTCACACAAGAGCAGCCATTTACCCCTGTTGCCATGGGAACATTATGAAGTGATGTAATTACGCGACATGAACATCATTGAAAAGCTGTAAAACAGGAAACATTTTTTTCATATTTTATTTATTCATTTTTACAGAAGTTGTAGCATATTCCTTTTGTAAAGCTACAGAACTTGTTTGACTCATCAATGTTTTGTAAGTTTATAAAACAAAAAATAAAACTAGATGAAATATTCCAGCACTTTCTGTGATGTAGTATGTTTGCTTATCATAGGAAGTAATAAGAAATGACTCTTAACATTAAGGTAGTAGTAGTGAGAACAGTTTTTCTCTTTTTCATCAAACCGCAGTTTTTGTAAGTTCCCGCAATTTCATCACATAAAATTGCAAATATCCTGCATATTCCATCGCCGCATAATCAAGGATTTTTGCCCGCAACAATCACAAAAAAACTCCGCATTTTTCTGGAAGGACTGACCTTTGGGTCACATCACCACACCATTTTGTCCCCCCCACTTGTATAATGGCTGCTACGCCCCTGCACCAGTCTCATATTTCCCTATGTGTGTGTGTGTGTGTGTGTGTGTGTGTGTGTGTGTGTGTGTGTGTGTGTGTGTGTGTGTGTGTGTGTGCGTGTGTGTGTGTGTGTATTTTGCAACCTTGATTGTTTACAGTCTCATGCGTTCATTGCTGTGCACTTTATTTCTTACATTGATGAATAATTGCTTTTATTTCACACGTTTCCCAAAATTAGCTTTTGCAATGACACGCGTTAATCTGTGTACATGCGTGTGTTTTTGTGTGTATAAGTGTGTGTGTGTGTGAGTGTATTTGTCTGTTTTGCACTCTTGATGTTTTAGAGATTCCCCCCTTCACTGTTGTGTGCTTTTTTCCTGCATCGTGGCTGATTTGTAGATTGTACACACAAATAAACTCTGTATTTTCATATTTTTGCCAATTTCCCATTCATTTCCTATGGCCGGTCATTTTTGACCCGAAGGTCCTGAGTGTGACTATTTTTTTTATGACCACTTAGACTTTTCAAATCCTGTCCCCAATTTTTTTTTGTGTTCGTATACCAAGTACCATAAAAGTCACCAAGTTTCGTACCATTCCGACGAAGCTACGATTTTTAACATTTTTTTATTTAAAAAAATCCGGTCAGAAATGACCGAAGTACCCCAGAGGGTTAAAGGATAGGGGTGTAAGAAATTATACACTTAAGGAATTATTAGAAGGAACAAATTTTACAATACACGAAAAAGTTTTCACATTTTTAAATGACACAGAACTGGTAAGAAAGATATAATGTTTTTTTTTTTTTTTCATCAAGTGTATTCTATCAAGTAGTGCTCCATACTCCAATCCAGTAGGTGGCGGACAATGCACCTTAAAGGTGGTTTGCCAACCGCCATTTAAACGACAGAAGAAGAAGAAGAAGTCTTCTGAGTTGAGGAGAGCAGTTCACGGTATTTCTCATCTTTACACAACCATCACACACACTTTATAGAGTTTGATTAAGCGACAGACTCGTTTCTGTATTATTTTCATCGATCACAGCGATACTTGTGCGTCTTTTCTGGCGTCTTCCTCCTGAAATACACATTTAGTGCAGCAGCAGCGAGCATGAGGAGAACATGTGGAGTTCAGACCTGAGCGAGTGTGTGTTCGTTTGTGTGATTGTCTCGATGTTTGGAGTGAGAACTGTTTCTGAATGTCGAGACATAAGTCAAAGTTTGAGGTCTGTGAGGGGAATTGATGCTGCTGCCGTTTTATTTTATCTGTAACAAATCTAATGTGTTTCTTACATTACATATTTTTAAAATATGCTGGAACAGATACGGCTAAATACTTCACTTTGAGCTTAGATAATGAGTTTTTTAGGATCAGTGTCAGTTTTAATCTAATAACATTAGTGCAATGAATCTAGTTACTACAAAATCTAAATATATTTTAGATATTGACATTATGCTGCTAGTTATTTAGATGAGGTGGTTAATTAAGATGAATGCCATATTGTATATATATTTTTATGTTTTATCCTTATGTCGTGATAAGTAACAGTATTTTCAGTTTTACAGGCTTTTATCATCTATCTGACTCAAATAATGTGTTTCTAACAGCAAACACTCAGAATAAAGTGAGATGATCTGCTGATGATCCTGAATGGCTTGTTGAATGAGTGTTGATAGTCTGAGGATCATCAATATTAACAGATCTGCTGAAAACACTCTTTATTTCATGACAATAGTTCCTGTTTTCTCCTCATTTATTATGCTGATGTCTTCACATCTCCTGTAAATTGACACTTAAAGCTCATTTCAATGGTGTCAGCAGACTGATGGGATTTGTTGGCTACTATGTACATTTTAGTACATATGTCTTTATGCATTCAATTATTTTTCTTACCATTAGTTATATTTGGAATAATTTCATTACATTATGTATATTCTGTTATCAATAAGTATAAAAACAAACTCAGCAACTGATATATTTTTTTTATTTTGGGCAGAGATCAGCTCCTCCCACAGCAAATACATCATCAGTGAAGCTCCTCCCACTGTAATTCATCATCAGTGAAGCTCCTCCCACTGTAATTCATCATCAGTGAAGCTCCTCCCACTGTAATTCATCATCATTGAAGCTCCTCCCACTGTAATTCATCATCAGTGAAGCTCCTCCCACTTTAATTCATCATCAGTGAAGCTCCTCCCACTGTAATTCATCATCAGTGAAGCTCCTCCCACTGTAATGCTGTAAATTCCTATCAGCCACAAGTGAAGACGAGCATCAGGAAGAGCTGAAATCTGCCAATTAAAGAGGACAGTGAGAACACGAGTGATCCAGAACCCTGCAGAATGAAACACACTGAAGATCCTGAAGAACAAAGAGGTTGGTGTTTATTCTTCATTCATTCATGATGCTGGAGAACATTCATGTTAGAAACATTCAAGCACTTCATCACTTTTAGATCAGCAGGTTAAGATTATATATCTTCAAGTTTAGCCTAACCTAACATCCAGTTTAACTGCCACAAGTTGATCTTGTAATAAAGATCTAATCGAGGAAAAACACGCAGTATTTTTGTATTTTCATTGCATTTTTAATTTATAAAAAGTTAAATAAATAATGATTAATCGAGGTGTATCGACTAAGAAAATTTAATCGAATGCCCATTCCCTAATCACTATTAATCGAAGTACACTCTACTGTACAATAGTAAGCCTCTATTTTTGTTATATAAAATTAAAACAAACTTTTATTTTGACAGGGTGTCGTAAAGACTTGAGTTCCTGTCTGTAGATGATATGACAAATGTGGATAGTTTTATCAAATCAAATGGTGTAATGTTCATGAAGTGACTCTGCAGATGAAGTTCATGTATAAGGAGACCGCAGACGCTGAAATCATCGCGAGTGTCACGTTTGCTTTAGTGTGTGTCAGGGCTCTAGAGTGCGACCAATTTGGTCGCATATGCGACCAAAATTTGTAAGGGTGCGACTAAATTTTTTCCTAGGTCGCACCAGTGCACCTAACGTTCTCGCATGATCGCATCCGCTGCCTCTCCACAAACGAGTCTTTTGTTCTCCTTGCACGCATGGTTGGATCATATCGTGGTCTAAACCAATCAGAGATAGAGATTGGGCGGGTCTTTGCCTCTGATTGGCTGTGGTTCAGATATTCCTGTATGACTAAAATGCTCCGTGCTGACTGTGTGATTGAAATAAATTGCGACGTGAGCACCAGAGAATCAGTTACGGCAATCAGCAGCATCAGCTAAATAAACGCAAGAAAACAGACGACGAAGAAACTTTAAAAAATGTAGGCTACTTGAACTAGGTAAAAAATATTGATTTCTCGATTTTAATCGATTCTCATTTTTACGAACTGTTGGGCTATGCTGTTTTCAGTTGATGAATGAATGGAACATTGTAGCGAGCATCCCATCCAATAAATCCCAATAATCTTTGTGCTTTGTTACTATTGATGTGAAACAAAGTCTCAGATTTCAAATTAGGTCCATTTTCTTATGAAATTCAAAAACATAAATAGTGTGTTGACGCTGTTGCGTGAGATCGCTCTGGCTCAGCTCAACTCAAGAGCAGCAGCGCGGATCTTCTCTTCCGCCTTAATAATACAAGTTACAGCGCGAAATAAACATGAAAAAGCATCTGAAAGTGTGTTAAAAGATAGAGTACAACTTATCGAAATCCGTATCTTTCACATGGAATCGCTCAATCAGTGTTTCAACCGTGGAAAGACGTCAGTAAAACGCTTGTAAACAATGTAATGTAACGCCACATTTACCTCAGAAAAAATATATCCAGTGCCCATAAACTCGTTAGCTAGCTAGAAAAATTAACTCCAGAGGAGCATTTTGCCAAATATATGCACCATATTGCATATTCTTTATAATTTTTTAATGTTTTTCAATATTTAATGCATGTTGTTTGAAATAATCTGGCAAGTTCTTATGCAGCCACCATTTAAATGTTTATATTTCATATAACTTTATTATTATAAAAATAAATAAAAGTGTAATTTAAGTGTTTGTGTACAAATCAGGTCATTTTTACCTTCAATATTATAGTAGGCGAATGAAGCATAGTGGGCTACAACTGACTCCCAGTTTGCAGCATTAGTTAAGAGATTTGTTTTCCTTGAGAAAATTTGCCGCGTATTGTACCTGATATCCAAAATAATCAATATTGAATCGAATTGTGAAATTTTTGTCAATACCCTGCCCTAACTTGAACAATGTAAAAACAGCACTTTAAATGTTTTATTTTTTTTAAAAGACTTATATTTTTATATACAGTATAATTGTGCTTAAAAAAAAAAAAAAAGTATTATTCTTGTTTAAAAGCATTTACATAATATATATGAATGTGTATGGAGCGTGATAAAAAGGTGACCTTGAAATTGTGGCGTTAAAGGCGACGCGAGACGAGGAAAATTTTTAGTGCACCTAAATTTTGTGCTGGTGCACCTAAATAAAAAAGTTAGGCGCACCAGTGCAACCAAGGCAAAAAGTTAGTCTGGAGCCCTGTGTGTTGTAGACAAAACTGCGGCGCTCTTTCACACAGACACTGCAGAACATACAGACTTCATATTTCAATAGCAGTCTATATGAGCTTTAATATTCACAGTCATTAGTCCGTATCTATATATGATTATTTGTACAGCCCTACTTTTGATTTATTCATCCCACAATTCTGTGATGTTACGTTTTATAAAGTAAGTTCCATTACTGACTGGTATTTGCAGTATTAAAGAGTTAGTTTTGTGAGTTATTTATTGTTGTGTTATAAAGTTGTTACTATTAGTGCAAGAAGGGTATGTATTTAATAGCGGTCTGCTCTCTACATAGCGCTCTTCATGGCCATTGAATAGATACAGCAGCTGTTTCAGCAACACACTGGTATAAGTTTATGAAAAATACATATCGTCTCGAAATTGAAACCGGTTTACCGCCCAGTATTAGTCATTACCTTCGACTAATAATCAGACTGACGAGTTTGTGACGGTGAGATCAGCATTATTGGCCGGGGTGAAACTCTTAAGTGACACTGGAATACAAATGAACCAGTAAAATATAATTACGAAAATGGAGAGAAAATATATATCGGGCGCATTAAAGGAAAAGAACGAGAGAGTTTTTGTGTTTTATTTAACATAAGCTTACTTGGCTCAACAAGGGACACATTATTACATATGCATTCATCAGATATTTTACGTTTTTTCTTTTTTTTTTACGGTTTTAATTTTAAAATGACTTGATGAAGCTCCGCCCCAACTGTACTGAGAGTCTAGCTCCGCCCCTGCCCATATTACAAACTACTGCGAGGTTATTTATTTGGGTAGCATACATATTCTGAATGCCTTCGCCAGAATTCAAATGAGCCACTTTAATCTAGATTAATTCCAAGATTACAGTGAGATTAATCTAGATAAAAAAAAAATAATCTATGCCCACCACTAATTTATATATAAATACAATAACCATACCTGATAAAAAAGTTTTATGTACTATGTACTATGTTCATTTTGGACACAAGAGGGAAGTATGTATGATTTTTTTTTTTTTTTAACCAAATAGCACTAAATAGCCTGTTTTAAACTTTTTCATACAACTTGAATTGAAAAAAATAGAATAAAATGAGTTTAGTTCTAATATTTGTATAATTTTATATAAAAATAAATGGTGTATAAATAAATTTTTAGAAGATATGAGACGTTTCCTGATTCTTTTTAAAGTCCCTGTAAAGGCAATTTCAAAAAAAAATTCTAAACACATTATAAATGTTAGAAATGTATTGCTAAAACATATTACAAAGACTGTGAACTGTGAAGTACTGAATTGTGGAGTTAGACCGTTAAACAGTTTTTCACCATTGATATTTTACGGATTTTCTGGGCGGGGCTAAAACAGGGCTCGATGACGCACTGGAGCCCTTGAGCTCCTGGACACGCCCCTACTTGATGACGCTCTGAGGGCACGGAGGCTGGCCGCTCCTAACAATATTATAGAGCACATTCACATCAGTTTGCCGCTCAATCGCGAGTTACTGTCAGTAGCTACTATTATTAGTAACACAGCCTACAGATTGCTAGCTACTAGCTATGCCTTCGTCACGGAAATGCGTACTACCTGGATGCGATCACCGGATCACGTACAAAACAGATCGGTGTCCTTGTTTAAATTTCCGAAAAACGATTACATCAAGAAGAAGTGGATTAATTTTGTGAAGAGCCACCTTGATGGAGAGCTGAGGATCACCGCCAAAACCCGCCTCTGTAAGTGATCATTTTACACTGGATAGTTTTATAAACTTTCGTCGGAGATAACTGTCTGGGATTCACTGATAATCCGCTGTTACTGGTGAATGGGGCCGAACCGACTCCCGCCTCAGCCTTCATCCTCCCGTCGCGCCGACAACTGGTGCCATTCGGCAGTGCGTGCCCACCGTGCGAGCATCTATTCCGGCTGTAGAGTTGAGTGTGGCGAGTCGACGACGGCAGCGTTCCCGCGAGTGGGCGTGGTTTCAGCGCAGCCAGTGGACACGCCCCCAGCGTTTGAGAGCAGAGATTACTGCTCATTTTTTCAAGATTTTGATAGCTTATTTTATGTACTTGCTGGCTTTTTTTATCATTCAAATTTGGCTGGGTGACTAATAACACATTTTTCTGTGGTGTGACAAACTCAAAACACATACTTAATTTTGACTTTACAGGGACTTTAAGACATAATCCCTCGCCATAGCAAAACCGTTTGAGATATTCAATATCTGTTAACAATTTAGCATCTTTAATGTACTTTCATAATTTTGAAAAAGTTTGGTGGGAATAAAATAAACCACTTAAGAGGAGTGAGTAAAAATGTAAAGGCTGGTTTTTCAAAACATCCACATTCAGACCAAAATAGCCGATTTCCTGTTGGGCTGGCTTAAAGTTGTTTGGCCCGATGAGATCTATATGCGTACCGAGTTTCATATTATTACATGCAAGTGTGTTTGATTTATGGACCAAATTTTCAGACCAAGTTTATTGACCAAGTTAATTTAATTAATAAACTAATTATATAAAACTATTGTCAATGCACTACAATTAAACTGGTTATATGCCTTTACATTATTTAAAAAAAAAAACTTATTTAAAAAATACAAGGCTTAAGACATTTATTTTCTTTTTTAATGCAGGCCAAACAACATAGCCGTGAAATGGTTAATCTAGCCCCCCTTCTCCTCCCCCTACACACACACACACACACACACACACACACAGACAGGCTCAGACACAGAGAAGTAGGCTCAGAGAGAGAATGACCACATTCAAACTAAAATATCTGACTTTCTGTTGGTCCGAGCTAATGACTGTAAATTAGAAAGTTG